TGGGAGCCAGGTTTCATCAACGGAGCCGGTCCACACTCCTGCACAGACAAACACAAGTACGCTGTATTTGAGGAATCAAAGGCATACAAGGCGGTGGCTGGACCGTAGTGCACACCACACTGAGTGCATGGAACCACTCTTTGATGCTAACACTGCCACAAGGACCGTGCACCCCGTCCCCTAAGCAACGACGAACTGTCTACAAGCGGCAATGTAATAGAGGCGCAGGGTAATAGAGGTGAAGGAACCTTGTCAACACCCACATCAAGCGCAGCCACACCGGGGATATCAAGCAACAACCCGTCACTTGAATCCTGAAGATGAAATAAAATAAAACGAATAAGGAATAGAGATACGGTGACCCAACTCTTCTCGAAATTAGTGTACGATGTAAGATGGTTAGCAACGAGTCCGCGATACGTACAAAATGTCCACAGGCTACTTAAAACATTCTGCAAACGCAGTAAAGTTCATGAAGAGAAGGGCAATTAAGGTTCGCAATGTGTACAAGTTGCTAACAATTATTCAAGTAAGCAGGACAAAGCAAATAAAGTGGAATGTATTTTATCCAGCTTAAAATAGCTAGTTTAAGGGCAAATTGGTTTAGCCCAACAGCGGCGAAGAAGTATCATAAATGCAACATCAGCCTGAGCATAGTGTCCCAACAATGCGAACGATATCCTGCACACGCCTTCCATCCAATTTCCGTCTAACCTTAGACTTATGTATTATCGACGGCTCATAGTGCTATATAATCATATTTCTTCGACGGCCCAAGGGGATTTCCGCACTACACATGTGGTTCACATACGATGATTGCATTTCATCAATGAGCACTTTTAGTGCATCAATCAGTGACCTCTGCTCGCGGATCAACTGCTCTGCAGCGTTAAACCTTTGCAAAAAGCCCAATGGCAGCACCATCAGCAGGTGGAGCGATCTGTTGAATAATACTTGTTGATACCATTGGACTTAGATTCTATTTAGACTCCAATAAAAACCTAAAATCCGAAGTAACCTTTGATGATAAACATGATCATGTATCCGAAGTTATGGTTGGGGTTATGGTAAACGAAGACACCAACCCTATTAGTTCCACATCCGTGCAAATAAATTCATCATCATCATCATCATCATCATCATCATCATCATCATCATCATCATACACGTTAGCTAGAGGTGGGGAACACCTCAGCTACTGTGCAAATAAATTACGTCAACAGCGAAAGCAACCTCCCAGTTAGTACGAGTGAGCGATAGGTGACCGAAGTCCGTCCAACGAGTGACCGAAAATGCGGCCGCGCGGGACAATTTTCCGCAAAATATATCGGTCACTTAGTTAGTTTGGTAGCATAACCGCGCTCGCTCTTATAATTTTTCCCAATTTTCCCCTACGTTAAAGCTTCATCGCTAAGAGGTCACCAGTTTAAGTTAGTCCCGCAATACAACCGCCTGGAATGTCGGGGAAACTATTTCTCCCTTCGAGTGTCACAGCCTTGGAACGCCCTCCCGGAACACGTAATTAATGCACCCACCCTATCCCTTTTCAAAAAACGCCTTAACGATAGTCTGTCACATTTGCACTACCTGCTATAGCCCTTGACCACCAGATGCCAGCACTAATGCACAACAGACAGTGGATAGTGCCATAACCATACTCAAGAATGAGTTGCGCCAATTCCCTTGAACGAAATTTGAAACGTTACTACTAGAGAATCTGGATTTCTGTACCCTGTCGATGCAAGCTAGTTGCACACGAGTAAGCTTTGTCTTTGCTATCTATTTTTATGTTTTCTCACGTATTATGTGATCAATAACCACTCCCCTTATGGCTTCGTGGGCGTACATTCTCATCTTAAACCCTCTTTAAATGCTAGTGCAGTTAAATCTGTAATCGCCCGAAAAGACGACTCCATTATCCCTTGATCTATCTTATTTTTCACGCTAAACACCCTACGGGACATGTCAAGCTCATTCTTTTTTACCCGTTATGAATCATTGTTCAAATGCCGATAAGCTAGGTGAGGTTCTTTACTCCTTGTTCGGTAAACTTCTGATCACATAGGAAAGGATTAGGTAGCATAAAATCCATCGCACTGGTAAATTTCCATAAATTTCGCGGCATTAAACCACCACCGTCCCTTTTTACCCTGCTAAATGCCGACACGCTTAGTGATTCTCTGTACTAATATGTGTGGAAAATACACGTATTTAACAAGTGTATTACATATTACGGATAGTATAGCAGATTCTCTTGTTTGAGTGCGGCCATTAAGCTTTCACTCCTCGGATCCATATCCGGAATCCTTGCTTTCAGGATAACTGCGACACCCTAATGTACACACTAAGTTAGACACTTCTCAGCTTGCAGTAGTTCGCTTACCGGAGCGAGCCCTTACAGCGGTTCATACATGTGACATTTTGTATGTTATCCTGACGTCGTGGCTTACGAACCTACAACATGGAATTACATCTACCTACATTTTAGTGGTCTGATCCGATCTTACCTCCTAGCGAAGGTGCATGGGCTCAGTGGAAAACGTAAATGTCGTTTTGTAAGCGCACACTTTTCTTTTACTGGCACATGTTAACCTCATAAGCAATATCTGTCAGCTTGTTTCTAAACCATATGGGCTTATCAGCACTGGCTGGTTGTAGATCTTTCATCTGATCAAAGAAGATTTCAAACTGCCATTCAATAAAAAGCTCATTTAACCGTCTAGGAAGCACTTTGTAGTCTAGGCCAAATGATAATGCTTCCAAGTGTAAGGCATTAAGCTTCAAATCCGACATATTCAGAACATACTTAACGGGGTCACGGGTAACTGCCACTTCCTCTTTGTTGTTCATCAGTGACTTTTCTAGACGAGCCAACGCAATCCTTTTTGTTCGATCAACCGTGGTTTTACAAAACCAAGAGAATGCAATACGACTACAGAGGGGCAAGTTTTCGATGACGGGCAGTAAGCGTGTTTGTGTCTCGAGTAAATCCACAAATCTGGTTTGTGCCGTCTCAAGATGAGCGGATGCAACCCGTCTAAGATTAGCTGCAGAGGGCCTCAATTTGTTTCTACGTTTTGTTTGGGTCAACAAGTAAACAGAACAGAATTGCGGTAGGATAAATTACGAGAAAACAGAAGCTTATATTTGGATAGGATGGAGGAAATAGTCAGTGTTATTTTGACAGGCCACAGTGTGGTGAATGAAGTGGGCCGTTTAGAATTTTGGAGGAAAAACTGGTACAAGCGTCTAGGTGCTTGTTAACAATAAAATCCACTGCATTTGGAAATAGGCTTTGTTGACCGTAAAATCATTGTGCAGTCTCTGTTGGGGAACATAAGAAAGATTACAGGTGAACAGTAGATCCAATTTGGCAAAATGCATGCAGTCACAAACCTAAGAATCAAATCACGAGGTACTGAAAGTATTTCAAGTCGAAGAGCGAAAAGGACAACCCTCTAATCTTACAAAATGTTTCGGCAACGTGAAGATAGCAAGATAGGTTTCGGGTTAAAACGGCCCCAATATATTTGATAACTGGTGATCTGGATATGACCTGGTCACTCATTAATGGAGAAGTGACGTTTGAAACAACCCGTAATTTGTCAACTTGAAGGAACCAATGTATTACGTCAAGACATTTAGAAATGATCAAAATCAGAGCTCGGGATGATGACCAAAGTACAAACCCATTTGGAAAGATGAAGATATCCCAGCGTTTGTAGTAATGAATCCAAAAACTGCATCGTGAGCATATCTGCGTGTAATAAATGTGGTTGTTATGGTGAGCTTTTCAATGTATGAAGAAAATAGCGCAGGTGAGTGGATGGCTTTCTGAAAAACACCTCGAATAGTGAGCAACGCAAAAGACTTCATTCCATTAATCCGGGTGAATTGAGTGCGCATGGGAAGTAGTTTTTACCCAGTCTGTGAACACTTGTTGGAAATCCATTTGTAACTATCTGGTTGAGTAGAATTAATCCGTAAAGGCTCCTGAAAGAATACATATAGTCGAGAAACAGAAAGCTTACTGCATCGCATTTTCAGCCAATGCTGATGCTACAGTATACACAACATATGCTACAGTATCTAATGTGAAGCGGCCATGATTGTAAGCGAACCGGTATGTATCGCCTGCATTGGTGCACGTGAAAATCTGCGTGGCAAATAGTTTCTCGAAGACCTACAACATTATCGATGTGAATGAGGTTGGACGATACTTCTTGAACACCGGCGTTATCCTTACAGGTCTCCAAATGTTAGGGCTGGCGCCATGCATCAGACATCGGTGGAAAATGGCGATTAGAAGTTTCGCATGGTAATTTGCACAGTAGTTTAGGACCTCTGGTGAAATGTATCTGAGCCAGCAGCTCCATTTACCTTCATTTTTCTGAGTTCTCGACAAGCATTAAAGTTGTCAAAGCAGGTTACCGGACCTGTTTTGGGGAAGTTTGGAAGGAAAACATTCCCGCTTTGAGTTCGTTCCCATTTACCTTTTCAATGTGTTTACGGAAACTTTGGCCACATAGGTGCTTCAAATCACTCCAAAGGATGTGGCAATCGTGATTGCTAAGCACAGCCTGGATGTATAAGTGGTTCAAACATTTTATCACAAATTTACTTACCGAAGAGTCTTTTAAGTTGCTCATTCAATGCGTCTTTATGGGCTTGTTCTTTCTTTCTTTCAAGTTGCTTTAGTAGCAGCGAAGGAAATCTATCCACCTGTAGCGTGGTGGTCTCAAAAGGGCAGCACAAAGCGAAGTGGAAGTTAATGTACTCCATTAAATGGTGGATGCTAGATAGATATTTCATCTTGAATGCTGAAAAGTCAGTTGGAAGCAATGTCGCTTGGAGTTTCGCAATATTTTCTGTTACTCTGAAGGAAACATAGTATTCAAATTAGCGACAAAATTTTCACTTTCTACATATAGTTAATACTCGCGGTCACCCATTTACCTTTCAGTTCGGTGGGTCTGAGGCGGTTATTACGGCGTTAAGCGATGAGTTCCCTATTTTGGCAAATCATCGCGAGTTGTTCGTGCTTGGTCTGTTCTCTTTCTACTGCATTATTGGAGCGTTGGAATCAACCCAGGTGAGTTCAAATCTGTTTACTAACCAACATTCATATACTGACTTGACCTATCGTTATACGTTGACCAATTGATGACGAGTGATCAAGACTCCGTTATGAAATCAACCTACTCAAAGTTCCGCCAGCTTCACCAGTTACTTATCAATTATGAACTGCTAGTCTATGTGATCGGCTATTTTACTTATCTGGGCGGGTAGAGTGCCGAAGACAAAACTACCCAAACCGATAAGTTCGGTAGATCTTCTCAAACTCCCAGTCGTTTGTGGAGACAGCTGCACATTCGGTCATTGACCAACAGGTGAGTGTACTGAGTTATCCCTCACTGACCACATTTCTGAAATATAAGAATAGTTTTTGCAAGTTGAAAACTTTGGCGACCAAAGTGCTTTAATACCTACGTCGCTTCCCACCATTCGGCATTTTATACTCCCGCCATTTAATACCTGGAAAAACCACTGTCAGCTACATTACCCGCGTTGACCTAATAAAACTCTTAGCGTGCCCGCGGATCACGAGCTTCTAAACGAGGCTTTGTACACTGTTTCTCTGCGGATGAAGTCTCAGGATGGCCAGCTGATACCATTGTAAAATTACACAAAGCAAAAGTCGACAAGCTGATTCCGGTTAGTGATTACCGGATCATTTAGATTAAAATATAAATACGCAAAGCCTCTTGGCATCTGATATTATGATCTTTCCAATACCTATTTTAACTACCATCATCCGCTGCATTTTGAGTATCACTTTCGTTGGAAGTTATATTATTCCTGATCATGTCAGGTGAATTTATCGTAAATCAAATTACTTGGGGCAAAGTATGTTATATTGTCACAATTGATCCAAGCAGCCTCTCAAAAATTTCATTTTATGAAGAAATGTCAAAACTAAGCCAGTAAAACGATCGGATGATTAAGGGAGCAGAAATGGATGAATTCAGAATGGTAAGCCAGGCAAAGGAGTGCGAAAATTCCCGCTTATTTCACTTCCGAACTCCAGCTAACGATTCTACCGTAGCACTGGTACCGATGTTCTCAAACTTTAACACATATCGGCATGCATGGTCATCCTTATACTGTTGTGTGTACGGCAATCGATGCCGGCGTATTTCTCCCGACCTGCGGTTGCCTTGGTACATGCGTTGCCACGGGTGACATTTACAGACGCTTTCAAACATACCCTTCAATTCGTAGAACTTTGAGAATCCGGGGGCTTTTCACTTGAAAACTTACGGTCATACCGTCAAAGGTGACACCAGACGAGCAGGTTCCACTAAAATGTGTGCAACCAGTGTGGTTTGAGAAAAATATCGGTAAAATACCTGAGGGCTACGCAATCGCTGAAGACAGCATGATGAGGGCTTTACTTCAACGTCGAAGCTGATCACTTAAAACCAGGAATGTTACAAGGTTGGAAATGCTTTCGTCAGATTGCATAGTGAATACTATTCAGTTGCCAGATTTTTCACGAAAAATTTAAGATTCAAAATTGTGGCGGATACTACAACAACTGGCACAATTTGGTATTTTTTCAAACTGGACGGCCATTTGGCTGATGAGCCTGGGTGAATACGCCGGATCATGTTGATTAATAGATCCTTTTACCTTAGTATAGTTTTTAAGTATTTTCAATCACTGCTAACCAGATGGTCAGTTAGTAAGCCAATCTCATGCGCCGTACATAAGTAAATTGCTGTTATCATTACTACTCTTGGTTGGAAGACCTCAGAAGGCTATTCTTCGGTTAGCTTAGGTATCCGCAGTCCTTTTTTGAGCCCACACATTACATGAAGATTACTTGTCCCACTTGACATTCTGTGGAGCTACTGTGTTGTTCAGTAAAGAGATTCTTGAACTGCTAGGGTAATATTAGTTTAAGCCGGCTTTTGCACGCACAAAAAATTATAGTAATTCTTGTGCTTTCCGTTTGGTTTTTCTCTATCACCTTAGTTGTTACAATGAACACGGCTGAGCACGGATAACTCCCAGGAGTTGTTTTCCCTTAAAGGAATTTATCGGATTTTAGAAGATTATGTGGTTTCTTTAATAATAAGTTATAGGAGACGTCACGAAAAAGAGAGGATTATCGCCCAGCAGTGTTCACTAATTAGCACCAAGGCATGGTTTACTGATTCCTGTTGTGTTCATCAGCATCGACGGCCTCCACTCAGCCATAGAGCTCTGGTGTACCAAATATGACAGGCAAATTAATCGTTTAGTTTCTCTCAACAGCAAAACTCGCGATGTCACCGCAATGCAGAAATCACGCGCAAACACACCATCGGCTGAATCTAATAAGCGTACAACAAGAAAAGTCATAAATCACTGTCTAGATCGCACCAGTTAGGGGGTTCAGTACTCATTCGTCGTAATCATTGCGAAGTTCGTATTACATTGTTACATTGCAAACTCAGAAAGCCTGAAAAAAACAAACAGGGAAAGTGTGGACAGCTTTTGCTGCACAACTCCGTCAGTAGAACAAATTTCAAACACTACGGTTGTCCAATTACCCCTATACTCACGCACTATGATCGAAAATCAGTGACTGCAATCTGATCGGTTCAAACAAATAAGCAACCAATCAGAATCTAGTATCGTCAATCTGTGTTAGCGGCGTGTAACTGTATAGCAGTTTGTAATTGGGAGCACCCGTTGTTTTCCTGTATGATTGCATTTATGCCCCGACCTATTTTAGGAGGCTGTGTTGTCAGTGAATGGTAGGACGGTCAACGCATACCCTCAAGAAGAAGGATACGGCGAACATACGACTGATGCAGTAGAAAGCACAATAGAAATCTGCACCTGAGTGATCCCACATTGGTTCCACAAGCGCATTAACGTGACTGGAGATAGAAATGAGATTTGGAACAATAAAATCACATTTTATTACAGTGCACCCCGAAAGGTTAGCAAATCCAACAAAACGAAATATATATGCCTGCAAATGTGGGCTCAGAATTCAAGGGAAGTTGTATCGCCACTAATCACACGACCCTAAGCTGGTCCGGAATATGGGATACTTGCTACAGGATTGTTTACTGGGGCTAAAATTAAATCTGTCCTAGTTTGGTGATAATTGGCAGTTTCACTTACTGTTTCAAAATTTAGTACACAACTTTCCATTAATAAACAATAAATAAATGTAGGTATTTCCCAACGGGCTTGGTACGTTCAGTTTTGTGGAAAGACCGATTGCATAGTAACTTTCTTCAACATTTCATTTAGGAATTCGCATTCATTGTGGAACAGTAATGCAATGCTTTGTTACCAGCTTAATAAGTAACAATGTTTGAAAGTTGGTTTTGTCATTTTTGTTCGGCCGGATTCCATGAGTGCAAAAGTGAATTGCTGAAGATCGAAAAGTTTGACCACATTTGGCATAGGAAGAAAAGATTTTAGATGAGATTTAAATATAGACAGGTTCTCGCTGGTCCCTAATTGCAACGGTAGGTTTATTCTACAGATTTTTAAGTGGACAGTTTTGCCTGATCTGCTGCAAGAATAGTAGACATTTCCCATTACCAGTGGACTGGGTTGCGCTATTTTGTAAAGCGAGAGCCGCTCTGGTTGAAAGTTCTTGTGCCTACATTATGCCGTAGGGAATAATGAGATTGCTTCTCAGTCGTCTAAGTCAAAGTGGGTCCAGCTGAAGGTAAAAACATCTTTCTTATAGGTAAGCGTTGATGTGAGTCCCGTAAGCATTCTGGTAAAGTAGCGCTGGATATCTACCAAAGCAATTCTATCTGTCTTGCGTAGGTGACTCTGTATGTTGATGAAGTACCCTAAAGTGGGTCTCCCTATGAGGTTGAATGTTTCAAGTCGTGTTCAGTATAGTGAAAATGAATTAGTGATATAGCTTGTTAGTTGCTTCGCCTTTACTACTTGATGCAGGACGTGTTAGGAGAAGTGGAATCCGATGGAGTAACGATTTTCCAAGCTCGCGAGTGGAGTACGCAGTTGGGATGGCGGTCTCGGTAAGAGTGGTGGATCCGTCTGGGTTTCTGTGTCTGTGGCACAGTATCAAATTTAGCTGCTGAGAACTTCTTATGCATGCTTTCATTCCATTTGTTTAGGGATGACATCTCTTCGCGCATAATTCTTAGACATAGTTTCAGGTGATCAGGCAGAAATCAGTACCCTATAGTTTAATGTCGTCCGTAAATAATATGGGCACCCGTGTCTAATGTAAGCACCTGTAGCATTTATTTAAATGAGGAAAAACGAAGGGCCCAATACACTGATCTGAAGGACAAGACATGTGACATTTCTGGAAGTAGAACAATACTGACCATTGTGTTCGGACGTTAGGATGTAAGCCAGACCAGCTCAAAAGTGGATTAGCGCTCCCATCGGCCGCAAGCACGGCCAACCATGGTTTGCGCGGTACACAGTCAAACTCTTATCGAATATTCAGAAAGGTTATGTTGATGATGGCCATGCTACCATCTAGGGTTGCTGCGACATGATCGAGGAATTGAAATTGGCATGTGACATAAGAAAGTTTGGTAATGAATCCGTTTTTGGAACTGTTACCTAGGTCTTGTCTTGGCAGGAACGGAATTACCCGATCCCTGATGACTGCTTCTAAGGCCTTAGCAGCGGTGGGAGTATGGTTAATTGGCCGGTAGTTTGACACGTGATTGTGTTTTGGGCAGAAATATTGAATGTTTCCAATGCTACGGGAAGCAGCCTGTGCTTATTGATAGCGTACAAATGTTCAATATGAGAAGGGGTACGTTTTTGCCACTTAACCTGACAGCTGCAAAGGGAATACTACCAGTTTAATAGATGCAATAGTCATCCGTACATCCTTTAGCCCCGGTAGGATGGTACAGCTTACATCATTCGGTTTTCCTGAACTGTGAGCAGGGAATACAATGATGCAGTGAGAAACGGGGCAGCAAACTAGGAATTCGTTAAATAACATATTTGGACTGTATGGTCTATTGCCTACCTTCATTAAAATGTAGGCTTGGAATTTCCAGGCGTCCTTTTGGATTTCTT